ATTTATTTTTTACCAGAATCTTGGTGTCCTTTCATTTAGGAGCTGTAGCTAATTCCCTAGTTCGAGATCTTTATGCTCAGACAGTTTAGTCTGTAAGTTACAAACAAAGAACTTTATAATAGGATATATATGAAAAAGAATCCCTTACAAAAAATTATACAATGAAAACTTCAACTGTTTGGACACATCACAAGAATGAACAAAAATAAAGATTCTAATCTATGGTAATATGGATGGATCTAACAAAAGAGGCAGACCATAGAGAAAATGGATTGATGATGTGAAGAAGTATAATATAGATAGAATGAGATAGAATATATGCCACTTTGTTGCTCCCTTGGTATGGATTCTTTTTTATTTTTAATTATATTATATATTGCTGGCAGTCTTACAGTCACCACTTTTACTTAGGTGTTTACAAAGGATAGGGAAGCTCCAGTGACAGTAACCTGTTTATTATTTCAATTGTAGTGCTGGTGTTTCGTAGTTTGTGCTGCCTGATTTTGTTTGAAAGATTCTGTACTACAGTAGGTTGCATTGAAACCTATAGAATGTAGCGATCTCTGTAATTATATTTATTTCTTTCTGTAAATCATTCACATCTGATGAATAGAGAGAGGCTCTGGGAGAAGTATTCTAAAGGCTGCTGTCCTATAACAACATGGGTCATCTGAGGTGGAACAACTGTATGACAGAAGAAACAATATTTCGGTACACTGCCATTTTGATTTTTTAATCACTGCCATATGTTTGTGGAGTTGGTTTATCTCTAAGGTCAGGCCAACATTGTCAATTGTTGTTAAATTTTTGGACTTAGTTTTTTAGATTTGTAAGCCTCTTGTTCATTCCAAATGACGATTATATTGTCTATGTATTGGTAAATGGCCATGATATACTTGCTGAAGGTTTGTACTATGGGAGGTTTCAATAAAAATCATACTTCAGCAAACTTTCTTGCAACCAAGGATACAATCTCCACTTCCTTAAACTGTATGTAACATTTGTCATTGAACATTCCTATTTTGGAAGAGCATGCTACAGTATAAACATATTCTGGTATGATATTATTCCAATGATCCTTCAAGAGGCTGTGTAATATGTGTAATGAGTGAGAGAAGATTGCATATAACTTTAAAGGTTGATAGACTTTTGTAACCTAAAACAATCGGGAGCCTACATTTGGAGTGGTTCAACTGTCTGATGTCTTGTACTACATGATACGTGTCATTGACAATGTACTGGTTTCATTTTAGATGTGTTCTGATGATGTGGGCCAGTCCCACTTCCAATCCTGTTGTTGGAATCATTTTTCAATTATTGGTCTTATATACTTAACTTCATTGTGAGTGTTAGGATAACTGAAGAGCTTTTAGAGACCTTTGGAAATCTGGAATCGGGAGGTACAGTACAAGGGAAGGCTCTTATTTCATAACATCCAGACTTTAGTTGAAAGCTGTGCAGCAAGAACCTAACAGAACAGATCTTCATGAAAAAGAAAAGCTCCTCAATGGAAAGACACCAAGATTCTGATTAAAAAAATACAAGATGTTTTCCACTTAGAACTGCTGAAGAGTCGACATCATTACTGTCAAACTTTGGTTATAAATAAAAGGGAAGGGAATGAACTACATCCTAGGCTTATTTCTTTTCTACAGTCATGAGCCTGTCCCTAAAGACTCCATGTTAAACTTCTCCCAAAGTCTCAGCTATTTATATAGTACAAACTTCTGTAAGTTAGACCGACGTTTCATGTAGTGTTTTAGCAATTCTAAAATTATCTGTGCTTACTACTTAATCATCATACATTTTTATTTACTGTTATTTTATTTCTATTTTTATTTTTGCTTTGTTTTTACTATTTTTGTTATTATGTTTACATTATCTACAGTTTATTTTATTTGTATTTTGTTATTTATTTTTGTTTCTTACTTTATGCACTGATAAATTTATATTATTTTCACGTTTATAATTTTAAGAAAATGTTCTAATTTGTAATTTTATCAGGTACATTCGAGCAGTTGTTCTATTGGAAATATTGGAATATGGAATGTTACAGATCTGAATATGGGAATAAAAATCCGAAATGCGCTTAATCCCAATAAATATCTTGATTCCTTTAACCAATTTCAAGTTTTTCTTACGGAAAAACTTACCTTAACAATACTTAATCTTTTACTTTCCCGGCTTTTATATATATAACACGAGAAAGTATTGTAATCATATCGAATTTTGCCCTCCAGGTTTTTTGCAAATTTCCACATTGTGTGTCTCATTTAATATCTCAGGTCAAGGTAAAAGCTGGGTAACGAAATTCGGCATGGTAATTTGTATATAAGAGGCATTGATGCTATTAAATTTTGGTGGTTAGTGGTTGAGGGGGTGAGGCAATAGAGGGGTGTTATATCTCAAGTGGAGTTGGACTCAATGAAAATTTTACTTGTTATTGGCATTAAGAATTGCTTAAGAAACTCATCTTTACCCTCAAAATTAGGTATTTTGCTTTTTTATAATAATAATATATAATTTATTTTTTAAATAAAATCTCATAACAAATGGCATCAGACGTAATTTTAACTTATTTGTCCGGGAAAGTTATACAACTCATTGCTGGATTTTTTTATTAAGTGATAACTCGATGAGGGTATCAGTGTTGCCGACACGAAATTTCCAGATTATTTCCTTTCAGAGATTTAACGGGATGAACAAGTCTTTTTCTCCTTCTCTATTTATTGTCTAACTAAATCCATAAAACAAAATGAGAACAACGTTATTGTTACAAAGCAGAATGAATGTTTATTTATTGGAATTTATATGATATAATTAATTAAAAATACTCCAAAAGAGAGAAAGTCAATTATTATGATTAAGTTTATAGCAGTAAAATAAATCAGATTTCATTTTAACATTTTGATTACAGGATAGGTAATGCTTCACTTCTGTTTCCATTTGAAATATTCTACTAAACAATAATTGGTGACATAAATTGTACCTATATAGGAGGTACAATAGACATTTGACACTATCCATTAGATTAGTAAATGTAATGAAAGATTTTATTAGAAATAGAAAATACTGTATATAAAAAGCCTCCACAAACCCAAAGTGTTAGAAAATTTACTTTAATGGAATGTAAGAATAAAGGAAACAAAACATTTCATGATTCGGACTTTTTTCCGACTTTAGAAAATTATTTTGGACCATAAATGTGATAAATAGGTTTTCCATAAGTTTCATAAAGAAATCCTGGATACTGAATTGTTTGGGGGTAGCCTACTGACATGTATGCAATATCCTTTGCCTTTTCAGAAGTATAGAAATGGCCATTCTGTTTGAGAGATTTAGATTAGTGTTTAACAACTTTTAAAAATTTGTATGAAAATTATTTTCATATTAATTACAATATTAAAAGTTAAATTACAGCTAAATTCCTTTGTTTAACTAAATTGAGTATAAACACTCTATTTACTTAAAGATCTTCTTCCAAGCACTTTTTACTATTATAGAAAGTCTATATTTAGCATTGAAAAATCTACAGATGTACCTTTTCCAATATGCTGTTATTTTTGTTGTTATAATTATAGTTTTTTTTCCAACAGATAGTTTAGAACATATGCCGATTCTAATGTGCATTTGATTCGATTTATATTTACACATCTACATGTAACAAATCGTGCAACAAATAGTCCGATATTAATTGACGCAAACCTAATTAAATTAGTTATATTTGCATCACCATTGAATCTTATTTTATTTTCCATTCGGTAAATAGTTAAAATTTAGATTTTTAATGTTGTTGTTCATTTTCCTTACCTTTTTTTAAATTTAAAAAATTTCTGATACTGTATTTTTATATTCAGTTTGTTGTTTTGATGTTCGTAGAAGATATACAACCTGAATATGGTTTAATAAAGCAAAATTATTTGTTTTTAAATATGATATTTGCCGGAGCACTAACATTTTTGTTCTTTTAAACAGTTGAATTATAATTAACTATAATTAAACTTTTAAATATTTATTAATCTTGTACTGGTTGAAATGACTTTAATGTTTCTGAATTTATATTATATTTACATACAATATAATAATTAAAATTTTGCTGTTATATTATCAGCAACAAAAATATTAGTATTTTATTCATTCACAAGTTTTATTTATTTACTTTTTGGTATTTTATTCTTCTGTTAATACAGTAACTTCTTTTAAACTTCCATTAATTTCTGTCTTTGTTTCAATAAAATATTAGATTAGAATATCTCACATGACATACAAAAACTTCCCTTTTCTTATAAGTATTATGTTATTTATCTCATGATTTCTCTGAAAAGATTAAATGCCAGAGTTAACTCCAGCTTTGCATTTTGAAATCATTAGCCATTGCTAGAATTAAGAGTCTGACTTTGAACAGATTTTAAACTATAAAACCACAATGTCGAAGTTAATGCAGCATGACATTGATCTCCAAGTTGAATATCATTTAACTATGTTTATTACCAGATCAAAATTCATATTGCAAACTGAAAAAGGAAGTGGTGCAATTAAACAAAAGTTCAATTAAAACTTTTTTAATAGCATCAAACTTCACGGTCTATAGTATGACATGCAGCTGAATCATAGCTGAAAATTCCCATTACTAAGCACTATTCTACGGTTGGACTATAAACTATCCTTAAATGTGACGTTCCGAAGATATTATAATTATCCTAATTTAAATATATTTCAGCTTTAAGTAATTTATATTTCTCCGACAGTAGGAAATATGTAGATCTGAACATATTTATTATGATCGAGAGTTTATTTGTGCACAGGATGAAGCATTTAACCTGAAAAAAGTGAAATATTTCCAGGTATTCAAAATCATAACCTTCAACCTTGATGCATTTTTTTATACATCCAAGATTTGAAATTCTAAATGCCTCATCCTGTGTATATATATATATAATTTAATGAGCTTAAATAATAATTGAATTTTATTTTAATAAATTTAATATTATTAAATTAAGATGAACTTTACAAACATCTACTGAAAGAAAAGAAAAGAAAATGGCAGTTTCTGGATTAGGAGGCTTGGATGTAGACAATGTTGATCAGAAAAATATCCCGAGAGGTACTATCTCTACTTACACTTGTGATGACATTGAAGTGATAAAGAAATTTCTGAAAGATGGACAAATGAATCAGGTATTACTTAAAATTGAATTATAAATTAAGTTCGGATTTAACTTATTTCAATTAAAACTAAGAGTATGAGTATAAGATGTAGAAATGCCATTTTTTTTTTAATATGCAAGAGAAAATAAGTCACAAATTGTTATATGAACATGGATAAAATACTTATTTTTGGGCTGCAATTTTTAAATTGCAAACCTTTACGTTCCCACTGTCCATCCTTCTTTAATCTTTAAGAATCGAGTTTGATATATGAAAATCAAGACCAGATACAGAAAGCTTACTTTTTAATTAAAATATGATTAAAAATTAAAGCCCAGCATTGTGACAATGTCAATAAATAAATGCTCGTTCAATATTAAGATTCCTGCCATCATTTTATCAAGTACAGTAGAGCATCGATTATCCGAAACAATTCGGGATTGTTCAGATAAATGATTATGTACGAAAAAGTGTATTAATTAACCTATTCCATGTTGAAATTCATCCAAATCCTGGCGCATCCTTAAGTACCCTCACATGGTCGCACCAGTTCTGCCAGCTAAAACACTCACACCAACAAAAATAATATTGGAGTAGCCCAAGACATAGCCAAATATTGCAGCACCATGGCACTAGCGGAAATTTAAATTTGTCGACTGGAACGCTTTCAGTTAACCGAACTGACTGCGCTCATACCTAACACTATATTAAAAATCTATTACCTCCATTATCACTGTTCTGTTTTTATTTGTGACTTATTTACTCACTTTAGCTAATAATTTTCAATAATAAAACAGACTTCTAAATGTAGTTAATTTTTAAGTATTTTTTTTTATAAGATTCAATATTTAAAATTTTAAAAATCTAATTGAAAAACTCAGTATATGTGATGATGTGTTGAGAATCGTCTCAATTTATTAAGTCCTAATTATCAAGAAGAATGTTACGCACTTAGCAGTTTATATCAATAAAGATATTTGGATTTTAAATTGATTTATTAATACTTCTACATTATATATAGTTATAAGTTTTCATTAATATAATTTGAAACTTTCATCATTGTGTAGTCTATGAATTCCTTTTAAATAATTTTCCAAAATATCAATATTTAAAACAAGATAATTAACATATTTCTTCAAAGTTATCTCTGAGTTGTATATTTTTTTTTTTTGAATAAGTTGTTACATAGACAAAGTTTATTTTAATTAATACTTACAGAAGAATAATTCTATTATGCAATACAGGATTGTGTGAAACATAGGAATTTCCTTATTACGTTACATGTTTATAAAACTGCTATCATTTATAATTGAAGGTTTCTAGAGGAAGTCTGACAAGTATTTACATTGCAAGTAATAAAGAAGAGAAATGATAATAAATAGAAAACTTGAATTTAAAAAACTTCTATATTTAATGTTGATTTATAATAAGATATACAGATTTACATATAATAGTAATTTGTTTTTATTAAATATGAGATTGCAACATACTTAATATAAAATTATTTGCATTTTGTCTGGATTGTTACTTGTATTCTGCCAATGAGATTCAAGCAACTAGCAGAATTCAAATGAATAAAACCAATGTTTGACCATTTTAAAGGACTGCATACAAATTTAAATAATGTTTTATGCACATACCAGCTTATAATACAAATTAATATGGATACAAATTAATATGGAGTAAGATAAATATGTAAAATATAATACAACTAGCAGATGAGTCTGGCATTACTCAGGCAAAAAGTAATAATAGCAAAGATTAAGATTTTAGATTATTTCGTACTTCTAACTGTATTATATACAGTGGTACCTCAGGATACGAAATTAATCCGTTCCGAAACTGAGATCGTATCATGAAAATGTCGTAAGGTGGATCATCTTTTCCCATACGATTACATGTAAAACCAAATAATTCGTTCCAACGCGAAAAACATACTCAAATTAAAGCCAAGTAATACATTTAAAAAAATAACTGTAGTAAGAAAAACAAATGAAAAATGCGAACTAATGTAACGTCGTATGGTGAGTTTTTGTTCGTATCGTGGAGCAAAAATATGTTCGAATTTCATGTCGTATCCTGAAAATTTCGTATGCTGGGGCGGTCGTAACCTGAGGTACCACTGTATAGTATTTGATTATATTTACAAAGGTTACCTTACGTAAGAGTTTATCACACCGAGTTTCCAATCTAACACATTTAAAGAATTTTTTAAATTGCATACAGTAGAGGAATAAAGAATTTTCAAAATGTGATAATAAAGAAAATTCAAAATGTGATAGTGATTAGATTGGTCACTTGATGTGATAAACCCTTATGTAAGATAATCTGTGTAGTTATATAAATCAAATATTATAATATAACAAACATTAAAATGAAAATCATATGAAGAGTTTGGTTATTTCAGCCAAGTTTTGTGATAAATGTGACGTTTATCACAATACTTGAATGGTACAAAATGGCACAATTTCAATAGTAAAGTAGACACCAATTGAAAATAAAAAATTTAAGATATCACATTTTTTCCTAATGTTAACTCTAAGAAACTGTACCATTCACAGACGAATATGAAACTGTAATCTGCCAATCAAATTTTGCAAAAAATGGACCAATATTTAAACTCAGCACCCTCGAAAATCACTTAAAACATAATTTGTGCTTGCTGGTAACCTTGTATTATGTAATTTTTCTATTGAAATGCCACCATACCACTGGTCTGATAGGAAAAAGGGACCGTGGCTGAACGGGTTAATGTAATTCGACCAAAATTAGTGGTTGACCTCCTCCTGGAAGAGATAATGGTCAACGACTGCTAATTAAAACTGGTCTACTATTAATATTTGAAAAGTGATCCATATTAGACAGGTTGAGATGATCCTGTATGTGATCAAAGTTGCTAACCTTTACATCTGAAAGATTTCATATAAAACTTGTTTAAATAAAAAAAAATCTTATAAAAGGAATTATTTTAGCATCTTTGTATGATAATAAAGTGTTTGAATTTTGATAATGGATTTTATAAACTACATGGGAAGTATGTTGTAAATATTGCATTTATAGAAAAATTATTGAGCTGCAATTTGAAAAAATTATAGACCTATAAATTCCAATTCTTTTCTTCCAGAATATTTTAAATTATTTATAAAAATTAATATAATTATAATTATTAAATTTAATAAGAGATGGCACTTATTGCAGCCTCTAGTGACAAATTATTTAGAAATTAATGGAGAAGTTGCCCAATTTAATATGGCAGTCATTTGGCATATTACTAATATACCAGGTTTCGTTATGTTAGTATATGTACGACTACTAAGTAGTAGTTAGTTACATTAATTAATGTTTTGTACAAAAGATGATGAAAAAGGACTTAAGACGATTCATGAAGAAAGGTCGCGAGAACTGGAACTACTAAATTAGTTCAGAGTAGAAATAACATCTGTTTCATTATGCAGTTATAAGCTAATTATGTCAGATTTTTTTATACTATAATTCCACTGCATTATAAATTAATTATAACTGTAATTTGAAAGCTAAAGATAGGCAATGTTGTTATATTTTATTAAATTTATATTAGGAAGCCTGGAAGAAAAGAACAACTCCAAGTTTAGCCAGAAAAGGTCTAAACTAAAACTTAATTTTTACATGTTAAAAGTGAAAATGCTATTGTCAAGTCGGACTAAAGGTCATGTTAGTTATGTAAGGGAGAGAAGCGAAAGAAAAAAAAAACTGTAGTTGTTAAAACAAACATGAAGACAAATGACATAACAGATAAGGTGGAATGTCAGACAAGGAAGATAGAACTCTGATGTCAGCACTCATAAACAATCGATCTAGGTTAAAAGTCAAAAGATTAGACAGTTAGAAAAACATCATGTGCAATCATTAAATCCTAAAATTGACAGAAATAGAAACAACAGGCTAAATTATGAGAGCACAGATTATAGTTTTATCAACAAACTTCGGTCAGAATCAACTAAAAAGTATTGGACAAACACCACGAATTGGACCTTTCTTGTGACCCAAACAAGTCCTGGGTTTTACCTAGAAACAAAAAGGAGACCAATTGGGAAGTGAGGAAGGAGATACAGGACCAATCAAAAGGTTAGATTCAAGGGAAAAATCCTATAAAAACCCTAAATCTCAAGGTCGAAATGCCAATTTTTACCTACTATAATTGTGAATAATCAGTGTCGTTATTCCCACATTGGAACATTGATGATGTTCCTCCACCTCGGTAAGCACCATCCCAACAACGGACTACCTCATCAGTATCCTCATCCTCTCAGCTCCAGGGCATCTCAAACCAACAAGCACCACCACTGGTCCTCATGAAACATCTGAACAGTGAACTGACAAGCAAATTCTGTTATTTTGGACTGTTAACCTACCTTTCGACGTGCACTACCTGTCGACATTCGTGTAAGCATCAGTTTATTATAATAAAACAGTTTTATTGTAAGGACACGTTTCATCCTTGCCTCCTGCTTCACCACCCACATAGGATTTGACCCTAGGCTTTTCCTGATACGCAATTAACTGTTTTTCCCTGGAAGTCGGTTCTTACACTATACAATTTTTGTATATTGGACAATTATACTATTAATTATGTAATCTAGATCACTTGTCTGATCTTGCTTCCACACATATATGCAGATTACCATATGTATATCACTCCTCAGGTCTGATCATTCACTTTCCACAGACCCTCTATTGCATTTGGCATCAAATTTCATTCTGGTGTGGTCTATATAAGCATATATAGTCTTTTCATTCAGACATCTTAAATTAACTAAATTATTAAATATATTAAATATAAGATGAGCCTACAGCTAGCTTCAAAATTATAGTAATAATGTATAATAACAATAATTGATTTATAGTTCAAAAATCTGATAGTGTTTAATTTATATAAACAAATAATAACCTAGAGTATACATAAATTTATTATTTAAGTATTTTCATTAACATGAACATTGTAATAGGTATATTTTTTACTAAGATCTGTATTCAGAGATAAGATTTTAACTTGGTTTCAGTGCAACAGATTAATGTATTTGCATTTTATTTTGTAGAATTATATGTAAGTGTTTATTAATATATTTTTTTTTTACAGTAAAGTATTTTATTTTTTAGGTCAAAGACATAATTCGAAGCAATCACTGGTCTATTAATCATCCAATTAGAAAAGAATTATGGCCGCTTCTTTGTGTTCATTATGGAAAAGAAAAATTTCTTGAAGGTTTTTATGAAGAAACATTGGAGGAAGTTTTAGGTAATTACTTACATTTAACTTTTGAGAAAAATAATATACTAGCAATGTGTGCCCAGTGTTGCTCGGGTTTTTGAGAGAGTGTGGAATTGAGACAATGATAAAAATAATGGTTCTAGTAACTGAAATCTGCATTTATTGAACCAAGTATTTATAATAACAAAACTACAAAAGCAAAAAGTTATGCAATGGGACAAGAATGATAAAAGATCATTCTTGTCCCATTGCATAACTTTGGTGGGTCCAAATTTCACAAAAGCATGTAATGTCTTTTTTCAAAAGCCTGGAAATCACTTAACGTGTATGACATAGACCAAGTGTCGACCTGGACTTTGAATGGGCGAAAAAGAAACATAATGGAATTAGTTCAATCAAAATATAATCTATTAATGTAGTAACTGCCAGAAATAACTAATTTAGTAAAGAAAAAATAATTCTATTTATTATTTTATGACTGACTATGTATAATATGAAATACAGTAGATCGTCGTTTATCCGAAAGCTGGTTATCCGAAACATCTGTTATCCGAAAGCATTCCAGTCGGCAAATTTAAATTTTCGCTAGTGCTGTGGCGCTGCAATCTTTGGTTATTTCTCGGGCTACTCAAATATTTTACGTTTTTGATACTAAATTAACATATGAAGTATAATTTTTTATTGTTTTTATATTTTTCAATATATTTATTTTGTTTGTACAAAATAAAAAAATAATTTTTAACGATACAATAGTCTTCGTTAGGCTTAACATCGACAAAAATTCAACGCGAAGCGACACGCAACGGAGAGAAATTTCAACATGGGATAAATTAATATATTTTTTCGTATATGATTCGTTATCCGAAAAATAAGTTATCCGAACCACCCCAGTCCCCAATTGATTCGGATAAACGACGCTCTACTGTAAGTTAGAAAAAATTCGAAAATTAAAGAAAGATGCTTTGTCAAATCAAAACCAATATATACAAAACTTTCCTGATACTTGGGGACTTAACAAATTAATTTAAAACCATCTCCACAAGAACTGACAAGAAATATGAAATTGGACTATACACAGAAAATTCACAAAGTAATCTTACAAATTAACTTGTCTAACCATCAGCAATAACTTCTATGCTGTCAATGAATTTAAATTCCTTAACTTCGCTTGATCCTTAGCTATACTTCACTCGATTCTGTTCATCTCTCTCTTTTTCTAGTGCAGTTGTGGTGACATTAGTGATATGCCCACTTAACCTTGTTTACATACTTAAGTCTAACACTCATTTAATTCTAATAATCTTTTCTCCATCTTGTGTCATTCCCGTTACAGTATTTATATATATTTTTTCTTTTTAATTTTTGGTAACAACGTGGGGTGGGAGATTATTCTTTTAACTCCCTACCAGAAGTCTTCACCCTGAGATGTTATTCTTGGGTTTGATGATGTAGTTGGTTTGCCATTGTTATAGTAAGGTGAGTTTTGAGTTAAGAGTTTTGTCTGAGTGAGATGCAGTAGTCTATCCTTAACAAAATAAAATGGGTTGGAATTGGCTCCTTACAAGTATTACTGGTGCTACAATCTTTAGCTGTAAGTTATGAGATAGTAGTTCAGCTGGTTCCAAGGAGTTTAAAAACTGCACCAGGTACATTACTGCATAAAGATCTGCCTTGAAAATGGAATCAACAGACTTGTATGTTATGTAAGTTCCTGGAAGTTGCGCTTGGATATGCAAATTCAATTCGGCAATGCATTCGATTTTAAATGCCAATATTACTTTCTCATAAATCCATTTGTGGTTTATGTAGTAAGTGTTATCAAATTAGTATCCGGATCATCAGTGAATTTGCCATCACCGTGACACGAAAGTTGTTTAGCAAAAATTCTCTGATCTGTTTCTCAATAGATGGATCCTCATATTTGTTGAAAGGGACAACTTTTTAATGTGATTCCACAGTGATGATGCCTTTGATTAGGCATTAAGCTAGTCGGTAGGTATCGTCAGGCAAACCAACAATCTATAATCAACAGACTAAAAACAATCAGCATTTATTTATAATTTTGCCAAAAGATGGCACTTCATGTAAAGGTAACAAGTCAGATGCGGAATCTATATACTACCCCAATATTTTTGGGTAATATTAGCTTAGTGTCGATTTCATGGTCTAAGTAATACTCATACAAACTTTGGTCCAGATTGGTTCAAGAATAAAGATTTGTATAAAGGACAAACCAACAGGAATTGATTTTTATATATATATATATATATTTAATAATGACATATTAGTAAATAGTAATAAAAAACAAAAAAGAAATGTTTTCTTCATAAACATATTTTAAATTGCTAATTTTCATTTTCAAGTTCTTCATGAACCATAGAATTAAAAATTCAAGAATTGAAACTAACTTAAGATGTCTAAATTATTTTGAAAATATTATTTTCTATAATTAAGAAAATTCTATTTTTCTACAGGTAGTCACGATGGTACACCTTCTTCATTACCATCCTTTGTAGATCCTTCGTATTGCATGAATTATTTTTTAAATAATGCCGGAAAGAAAAAAACAATGAGGGTTATGTGCGCTATTTATCGCACTCATCCAGAAATAGTGTACAGTCCCTTAATTTACCCTTTGTCGTCTCTTCTTATGCATTATATGAACGAAGAGCAAGTATTTTATTGCATTTCTAACTTAATAACTTCAAATACTAAAGATTTTATAAGTCAAACAAGAAATACGCACGAAGAAAAAGCTTATGTCATGCAGAAATTGACAAAGAAATTTGCAGTAAGTATTCTAAGTAAATAATTTTTAATNGAACAAAATGGTCAATATATAATTCAATAAAATATTTATTTATTATAAAAATATTGTGCTTTTTTCCACGGAAAAAAATGAAATTACTTTCTGAACAACCCAATATGTGGCATTGATGTACATCAGGGCTTCTTAAACTTTTTTTATTCATGACCCCATTTATGATTGTGATTTTTTTTCGCGACCCAAAAAAAATATAAAATAAAGATATATACCAATTTGCAAAAACAATAATGGTGTACTACCACAGTTCACTCTTGTGTTACAATGGAACAGAGACAACTGAATACACTGAAAAGCGACAACACTACACTAGTTCACACTACAATCAGTGTTGCTGAATCGTTGTCTCGCTGCACCAGAAGTGACACAAAGAGCAACTTATGAAACCTGTGACACAAAGTTTGCCATTTCCAAACTCTCACAAATTATTTTCAATATTTTGCATTAAAATCTCACGACCCCTAGATTTCGTTAAGCGACCCCAAATGTGGTCATGACCCCCGTAGTTTAAGAAGCCCTGATGTACACAACAGTGCTCTCCCCAGTCAATTTCTTAAATACCAGGCTATGGTGTTGCTTGAAATAAAGTTTCAATTCCAAATTTTGCAGCTATTTTGAGAGATTTTTTTTCCAGCAGGATGCATCTATCAACGAAAATGAAGTGATCAAGTTAATGATAAGCGAGATGCAAATACGTGTGTTTGAACGTATGAGATCTGCATAACCAATTTACTAAAGAAACTGATAATTATAAAAATGAGAGTTACAACACCATACAGTTTCCACAGATCTGTAGAGCAATAATTAGATTCTCAAATATGGATGCAAACATTTCAACTTTATACAAAGAAGCTACTTTTAGATTCATATTTGTACTTTTAAAATTCTGTTTTCTGATGTTATTCTTCAGAGAAGTGTAAAAAAAATGTTAAATGAATTTTATTGGGTTGTTCGGAAAGTAATTTCATTTTTTTATTACTAGAAGAATTAGATGTATTTTTACCATCCAGTTTCATTTTAAACTAAATTTTCATTATATAATTTGATAGCTGACATTTTAAGGCTTATTTGTAAAAAATTTTGTTTGATTCTGTACAGTTAGTTTTTTTTTTTTTTTTTT